GCGGGTGAGTTTTGGGAAGGAACTCGTGCGATGCTTCAGATGAGCAGTGACAGCGCTCTTCATCAAGCCCCTGCTCCAGGGCCTGCAGACCACAGCCTGTCTCAAAGGAGGCGCCAAGCCCTGATGCAGGCTTGGGACTAGAGGCTGCTTTACGCCCCAGTTGCCTCCCGACTGCCCCTGCCCGTCCCTGAGGAGAGGTACCAGTCAGCCACTAGCATCTCCCTGAACAGGAGCTGACTGAACCTGCATGACTACAGCTTACTGCCTGTGAATACCAATGAGCTCGCCGCTTCACGCCTCCTCCTCCCCCCGTCTCTCAGCACAGCTCTGTGCCGGTGACATTTCAGCACCTCTGCTGGGAGTCACAGAAAAAGACCCAGAAAAGATGGCAGGGCCGACACACGGCTTCGTGCCATGTCCTGATGGGGACTGGGGATGCTTGGCCAGGAGGAGAATGCTCTATAGTCCTTACGTCTTGCAAATTGTCAGGAAGGCAGTCACCTGTCAACATGATCTAAGGCACATTCCACTGAGCCCCTGGTGAAAACTTTTTGGCCTTTCAATAATGTTTAATAAATTAGCCCTTTGGCAGCAGAACAAAGCTTAGTGCTCAGCAGAGCAAGGCTCCAAGCCACCAGGATCTGGCACCTGCCAGCCTTAAGCTTTCATCTTCTCATTGTACTTAACAATGGGGAAGGCTGGGGGGTGGGAAGTTACAGTGGGCATTTACAGTAACTATAGAACATTTTCCTATTTTTCAGGTGGATAATATGGACAAACAACACATCCAAATCAAGGAATGCTTATCCAGAAGCACTGTAGAGTGCAGTGTTGCACAGAGCCGTCCTGGACGTACAGTATGTCAGGAATTCTTCTATGTTAAAAGAGCAGTAACAGATGAAGAGGAGAATAAGACAGGCAGACTGTCTTACTGGGCCAGTTTACATGCCTTTTGTCTTCATAGTCCTGGATTTGAATTTTAACTGAGAAGCATTAAATGGTTACCATGCATACATAGAAGAAAAGGCTGGTATTCTGATTGCACGGTGTTATGCAATAAAATTTAAGTGCTTATGTTATGATTACTGAAGCTGCAATGCAGCAAGTGCAGCTGAAGAGGACATTGAGGATAGCGTATAAGTTAAACAACAGTGTAGCTACGCTGGTGCCATTGTAATTTAAAACAGCGCATTTTCTGGCTATTTAAAATTTGGTTACTTGTGCTTGACTCAGAGTGAAATGCTTTCAGTGGTTAATGACTTGGAAAACAGCATAAAGAGATTTACAGTCGGAGAAGCACGATGCAAAGGAGCTGAATAATCCCGCAGGCCGAGACATCCCTCTCCCTGTCGCAGGCACAGACGCTCTGGGGCGTGCTTCCAGGCGGCAGTCTCCACAGGCCCGGGCAAATTGAATTCACACAGCCCATTATCACAGAGCCAGGCCTGAGCAGCGCGTCCTCGGCAGAACGCCCACCCCCAACCCCCTCGCCGCCTTCACAAAAAAACACAGCATCCGCAGGGGAGCCGCAGGAAACAAGACTGGGATAACGAAAAGATAAACAAGAAAAACATCTGAGTTCCAGTGGCGATGGGGGACCTACAGAGCTCATTCATAATGAGTGGTGTTCTAATTTACTGTGAACTCATGCGATCGCAGTCTGGATTCAGACCTCCCAGAGCTCCCAGGGACGAGGAACTAGCCTTTGGGAAGCACAGCCCGCCTGACCTCACAGAAAACACTAGCTGTGTGCAGCACTCTCCGCTAGACATCAACTTACAATATACAGTACCTGGCCCGAGTGAAACTTTTTGACAGGTTTATCATTGGGGCCAGACAGCCCCTTGTACTCAGCCCTTTTTAAACAGCTGTGTTAATGATTTGGTACGGGGGGATTTATTGATGCACTTCAAGGCTATGTGGAAAGTCACCTCTACAGGCCTTCTGAGTGATCAGAAGGAGTTCCAGAAAAGAAATGAGCTGCTGGAATGAAGACAAATGTCTACAGGACAGGAGGCCCTCAATGGGTTATAAATTCATGCTACAGTGAAAGGTACATGCCCTGGCAGAAGCAAAAAGGGATGGCAATGAAGCTCAAATGAAAAATGGCAAGTATCTGCCGCCAGCTCCCAACGGACAGTTATTGTGCTCAGCAGTCATCTGCCGGAGGTCTGCTGTATGAGAGGGGCCCAGCAGCTGTCCTAGCTTGCCACTGTAGTGCCAGTCTGTGCCAGGCACTGTACTGCCACACAGACACACCTGCACCAGACTCCTCTTCTGAAGACAGTAAGTTGTCTGCTATGTTTACAGGAGGGACGAGGCACCATCAGCGAAGCACAAACACTTAGAAGGAACTTTCATTTATAGCACTGGTATGTTTCTCTCTCTTTTCTGGCCTTTTGATAACGGGACTGGAATTTCTTTTCCTTGACTCATGAGGCTGAAATTATACAGTTAGGATGTGACAGAGTGTAGGGATGAAAACCCCTCTTTCCCTCCCGAGTCGCTTTTTCTAGGTTTTATTTTTTATTTGACTTTTTTTTTTTTGCTCATGACACAGATTTAAGCCCACGGGGTTTGTCCAGATGGTGCTGAACCATTGCACACCAAAACTGGCAGAGTCAAAGTCACATTGACACATCACAAAGTGAACTGCCATAATGCTGATTGAAGTGTGAAATTTGTGTGAAATTATTTGAATTGTAAGCTACTTCTGATAGGGAAAAAACATTCAACACACATACTTCCTTTCTGATGTTCCGCAGAATTTGCACATATGAGATCTTTGTTTCATTAAACATTAAACGAGCAATGAACGTACTTGCTGTCTTGTAAACTCAATATGCAAAGTGTGCAGCTGACATTGTGCTGCTTGGCTGGGAGGAATTGCAAACTGTAACCAGCTCATTCTTAACTGGACATCTAGAGTCCTCTGCTCTTCCTTAAACCACGCGGTTGAAACTGAATTTGTTTTCCAGCCCTGCCCCACTTACTGCAGGAGTGCTGGTGTTGCGGGGCTGGAGTGATCTGTATGCGGGCCCTGCCTCTGGGAGTGCTTTCAAAACCTTTGATGTGCAGCTCGGCGAGGCAGGCAGTGCGTGGGAGTAGTGCTACTACACACAGCACTGTCACAGCCACAGATCCCAGCACACTTTCCACACAATGCCCCCGAGCGCCAGGGCCGGCCTTCACTGCACGTCCACAGCCACAGCGCCTCGTTGTGTGTGGGTGTGTGTGTGTGTCTGCAACAGCCCTTCTTCCCTGAAACACTTTCCCATTCTTCGTCTTGCTACATCCCCGTTTCCTGTCATGCCTGCAAATTGTGCGCACTCTTCCTTTCACAATAAATACGAAAAAGATCCACCTCAGCCAAGCACTGCTGAGCTGTGAGCACTGATTTATTCAAAAGAAGAAGCCAGCCTGGTGCTCTGAAGCACCTCTCGCAGCATGCCTCTGAAGCTGCACACCCACGCCACAGCCCTGCTGCAACAGTGCCGCAAAGGGGCAATGCTAAAACTGGCAAAGAGAGTCCTACACTTACATGAAAAGGCAGAGTGGAGGTCTCGTGCACGAAAAGGAAAAAATGTAACTGAGAAATGTAACACTCTCCCACTCGCAGCGACACGAGAATGTGTGATCGGAGAGAACTCATTTCCCAGCACATGAACACTGTAACGCGCCTGAGAGAGGCGCAGGTCAGGATTTCCCATCAGAGAGGTTCAAAAATCGGTCTGAGTTAAGAAAAATGGAAGCAGTGGCACCCTGAGAACAGCTGGAGGAATTCAGTGCGGTGTTGGCACCTGAATGCCATAATACAGAAAACGTGTCGGGAGACAGTAACACACTAAGGGTGTGCGTGGGATGTTGACGGATGTCATCAAAAAGTACAGCGTTTGTATTTTTCATGTAACTCTGGGGTACACAAACTGCCGAACGCTGTTGCACATGACTATGATCCCAAGAGAACTGTGGGAACGCCAGCAATGTGACCAGACACACCAGTCTGGGCTCCGAGAGACGCTGCACCCGCCACTCCTCTCCGCAGGCTCCTGACTGCCGGACCGACCCAGAAACATCCACATGCTGGATTAGGAGTTTCCAGACGCTGCTGACTAGTGACAGCTAAATCTGCACTCCGCCCAGCCCAGTTCATCAGCCGGCAGTGACTCAGAATTCACAGAGCTGTACAGCTGCAGCTAAAGACACTACCAGAGAGAACTGAATGCAAGCAATAATTAATCTTAAATTTAAGTACCAGTTACATTCAGAATTATGCTGATTATATAATTAAGTCAGACACTACATTTCATTACTTTAGCTACGTTCTGCTCTTATACAGTACTATCCAGTACATGTAATATGTTCAATAGAAGATAGAAATGCCCAAGTAAATCAAACTTTCTATGCAGAATAATTTAAGATTGTGTCCTCCAGGATAGATGGAGTACAGACCTTTATATGGTCTTGTCTTCTGGGTGTCTCTGTCTCCAGCAGTCACTGGAGATTCTACCTAAAGTGAGGGTCAGAGCAACTAAAATGGACTCAAACTCAGCAACACCATACAGGGAGACTGATTGACTGACGAATGGACATGCACCAGCTGCTGAACTTTTCACAGCTTGTTTATGTGTAGGGTAAATGGAAAGGGCCAAAGGACATTGATGGTGTAGATTTGGGCACAGGTATAGATATATTGTATATACTGTAGTCTGTACAGAGACATACTGTACAGTATGACATATAGCTAGAGATCTTAGGTAATTGTTAGCAACGTTAAGATCAAGAATGAGCAATGCTAATAAAATCTTTAAAAAGTAATAGCCTCTGTGCTTATCTCCGTACCTGCCATTTACTTTTTATCCTAATCTTCACAGAGAGGAAAAACGGAGTTTGGGAAGACGGAAATACTATAAGGAATTCGGTTTCTTTTGCGTCACGGCCTGTAATGAGTGTGGTTCTGTTGCAGGTCTACACATATAAATGTTCAAGGCCCATGGTCTCCATCAAGTCTCACAACAGCCTTGTCAGAGCCCTGAAACAGAAATGCACTTGAAGGAATCTTACATCTCTGTTCTGATTTAGTACAGACATTTGCATACTGAACAGTTTACCTAGCAGAGCAAGCAGAGTGATATCGCCATTACTTCTATTACCATTTACTGCTAAAAACAGAACATTCATGGCAGCTAACATTTGAGAACTGAATTGTACTTCTATGTGTAGTGCTTTGTACTCGTGACTATTTAAGTCATTAAATAAGGCTAAAAAAAGAAGCGTTTCTAGCAAACCACTTTTGCTTTGCACATTACGTTTACTTCACATTTCTGCTCTGCAGGATACTATAGAGAAACCTCCTTTGTTACAATCTCATTCTTTTAACATTCATGTATTTTGTTGCATCTTAAATATAGCCGACGAAAATGACATTTGAAAAAGGTTAAAGGTTTTAATGACATGAGAGAACAATTTGTCGAGTTCTGGAGCCCTGTGCTGAATGCAGACAGTCCCATCTATGAATGAACCGAATCTTATGTACAATTTAATGTCCTACTGCTGCTATAGCTTCTGTAAAAGCAACCATCTCAAAGGACTGGAGGTGAAGTCCACGTATATATGTAATCATTGATGTTCATATTTATAAACATGTACTTATTAAACTGCCATAGGCACGTATTTGACCTCATTTCGGAACTTCCATGTGCCTGTATTAGAAGAAAGCAGGTGTGGGTTCTCTAGGGTGGCCACAATGTCTTTCTAAGACGACCCTGTCTGTGTAACATTGAGAGCATGGCTCTGGCTCCCTGCTCAACGGGTCTGCTGGCCTGGAAATCAATTCACTATTTGCGTGACAATGCTCAGTGAAACAAGTACAAATATTCCATTTGCACAACAACAATATAAAAACTGCTGCAGCATTGTTTTACTGTTATATCTATAATTTTCAAATTTACCTCTAATAAACATACTTCTCATGCACAGAATACCCCCATATTTAGCACTACTACTGCTGGAAGATGAGAGCTTTATTCGCTATACTTAACTACAGTATATGTGTTTTTCAGATGCAAAACTAAGCTTGTAATTCACTGAAGTGAGAAAGTAACTCTTCTGAAGTTACCGAGAGAGGTGGGTTGCTTTGACGCTACTGAATTCAGTGTGTATCCAAGTGCTCATGGTTGCACGATCATCACTACTCTCTGGACTTCTGATCAAGGAAAATAAATCAACACACTTCCCAGAAACGACCGCCCCCACCCCGCCATTATCTGGTATTATTCCCCTAAAAATAAGAGTGTCTGTCAGGTTGTGAGAGATGTGCATTAAAGAATACTAGACTGAAGAAGGGCACCTGTTATTTTATCTGGAAATGCGAGGAATCATGCAAGATGTGGGTGTCTCTCTAGAACAGGAACATTTATAGGCACAATCCTGAATAATTCATAACTTCACACATTTCATCACAGACGTGGAGAAGGCTGCCAGAGACATACATCAACAGGACTGAGTTTTATCTCACAAAACCGCCAAAGAGGATACAGAATTACAATGTCTGCCTCGGTTTATGTGCAGAATTAAGCTATTGGTGTGTTTGTGTCATAACCTGCCTTTAAGTCAAAAGTGGATAATTATCTCTTAAAAATGAACAGCATACCAGGATGTCTGAGCAGTTACTGTCCTTGTTCTCTTTGTCAAAATAATTTTTGCTTTATTTTCTTGTAAAATCCCCATCTACAGAACAAATAGGGGCTCTGGTGGCAGCCATTTTTTCAGACATATGGTGATCTCTGGTATAAGGATAAAATTCTCACATGTTTTTCCGAACAGATAACTCCATGACTGTATTAAATTTACCCTGTATTTGTGATTCCCAGTACTGCATATGTCACCATGGAAACATTCATCTCTGCAAGAGAACAGAGCTCTCAGACATCCAGGCCTCACAGAAAAAGCAGCTACACCGCAGAGAGAGAACTAGGCAGAGTTCAGAGCAAGCATGGCCAACTGTCTCTCATCACAGATCTCCCACAAGGTTATCACAACACCAGCATATGCTGTTTCACACGGGAGCAATACTGACCCCCCGAACTGGTCAGCGTTGCTGTTGTAAAATAATGTCATGTCAAAACAGGTTCGCATTCGGAGCCTAATGGAGTGAAACCCTGGCTGTGTTAAAATTTAAAAGCCTCACCTTTCCCATTCGCATTGCTGACCTGGGTTTAGTTTTCAAACAATCAAAGCAGCTACTGTATTTACACAGCACTGATCTGCATAACCCAGGATCCAAGTATATCGGGGCTTCACTGAGAATTAAGGAAATGCCCTACACTTACCAGATGCAAAGGAAACAAACTTTATCAGTCTTCAACAGAAGTGACTACGAGGGGACCTGATACAAGAATTCAGAATCCTCAAGGCACAGACAGTAAACCCAGTGGATTATTTCAGAATGAATGGTGGAACACAAACCAGGTGACACAAGTGGGAAAAGCCGTATGCGGAAGTGTATTTTAAACTGGTGGCACTTTATCCAAAGGGCCGTTAGAGTGTAGAATAAGCTGCACAGCCATGTTGAAGAGGATGATACCATGACTTCTTTTCAGAGGTGGCTCAAAGAGATCTCTGGATTAATTAGCTACTGTACTAAACTCCAAACAGGATAGACAGGCTTAATGACTGCCTCTTATTTGTAACTTTTCTTTTGTTTCTGCATAAAATTCCCTTAACACAGAGAAAGTATTCATGCACGTATAACAAACTGAAAACATCATAGGTTTCAGGTACATGTTAGAAGGAAAATGCAGTGATCAGCACGACCCTAATTCTGCAGACTTAAGAGCCACATTGTGGCTAGGTTTGTCTTCAGGGTGTCCAAATTAAGCTGTAAGAAGAGCACTGTAACAAATGAACTGATCCCTTGAAAAGCTTTTAAAATGTAATCAATAATATATTGCCTCTCAACCAGAAAAGCCTCACTGTGAACACTGCAGAGCGTATAAGATGTCTGACAATTTGAGGTCATTTTATTCTCCAGTTTTTGGAACTGGCATTGTCCCCCTTCCTACTTCAGGAATGCGTAAGTCTGATTTGCCTTTATGAGCCTCAGACTACTACACACTCCACTCTGCAACACGATATGTCACAGCCATCTGCTATACTTGATGCTAAGTCCCACAGTGCTTCCAGGAGAGTTAGCATCAGCTGGAGGAGTGATGTCACTCTCACTGAGAGACAGCTCCTAAAACAGAGAGGCATCCACCACATCACAGGGGCTGCCACTGAGCAGGGACTCAGGCCTGCCTAAGCCTGGCACTCCAGCCTGGCCATGCTGCTTGGGAAATCTTGGTTCCTTAAAGCTAATGAGTTATCCCAGGCAGCAATGTCTGAATTATGGGGTTCAACCCGTATTTGGAAACAGCACCAAAGCTGGTTGAGCCTCTCAGGAGCTCAGTCCACGTCTGTTTTAAAGTGGCCTTTATAATCAAAAGGTTTCAGCACAAGACCCCCCGGTCTCACCTGCCCGAAATATCCTAACCTGACAGATCAGCTCAGACCAAAGCAAGAACAGCAAGGTAAAGTGTGCCTCTCGATAACCCAGGACTTCAAAACATGAAGCAAAATAATAATACTGCGTTTGATGGAGTGGTGATCTTTCAAAAAGCGCCTTGGGGCCCAGGTGTTTGTTTCAAGTAGGATGAAATAACTTTGATTTTGACTGCTTCTCTTGCTCTCTCCATTAAAGGAACCTGTGGAGTACAAAGGAGCACCAGCAATGCCACTGTCTCCCTCTCCCTAGCCTTCCGATCAGTACACGGGCATTTAGAGTGAAAAAAAAAGCACCAAAATAAGATAAAAAACAAGCCAACTCTAAATGAAATAGCTACAGCTAAGAAGACAAGGAAAAATGTCACAATTCCCAACCTCCAGAAAGACAAGGCCACAGGTCAATTAGAGATGCCACGTCATACTGTTCCTTGCAGTGGACAATTCCTTTCTGAATGGTAGACTTCCATCTCCTTCTCTAGGAGTTATACTCTTCCCAACACAGGAGTCTCATTCACTCAGCCCACTCCTTAACTCTCCTGTCCAATGAGGCTGTAGCATTGTTTCAATCACACACATCAGTAACCTGTTTATGAGTGATCGATAATGGTGGTCTCTGGAGGAGGGGTGTATGCGACAGGGCTTCTTGACATAGAGAGAGGCATGATTAAACCTAACATGGCAGGCTCCCTGACTCATTCTCGCAGAATCAAAATCAATATGTTCTCTCTGCGCCACACCCACCAACCACAACCCCCCGATCTCTGCTGCAGACGCACCCAGAGACAAGCGCTCGACTTACCGACGTGTACAGGTATCCCTCGCTGTTCATGGCCAAGTACAGCTTCGTCTGCACCCCTTGGATAGCAACCACACGGAGCCCCACAGGGATGAGGTTGAACATGGCTGCAGGAGACACCAAGATTAATAAACCACTGAGATGTGCCGAAAGCCAACCAAACACTTTGATTGACAATCTCTCATGCATTTCGGAAACCCTCATCCCCAGTTAGCTGAATAACCCCGGAAAGCAAGAGAATAGTTTCTAAGGACAAACCTTGTTAGATGAAAACTCGGGGAAGAGACTGAATTGGGAAACCCAGAGTTAACCCTCTAGGTCCTTTCACTGGCACACTAATGTGCTTCTTGATCATGAACTCTTGACAAAGGTCAACAAGCCATTAAGGAGTTATAGTGTTAGTCCTGTGAACTGTGGAACCATAAATTAGCTTGTTGGAGCTGATACTGGAATGTTCTGAGGTCTTTAACATTTAGAAGCACAGGCAACACGTTAAAAAGATTACTTGCACATTTATCGGACTCCATAAAATGCAGGACACCAAGACACAGTGAACTGGACATCAGTAGATTTAAGTATCTAACCTTAAAGGATTCACTGGATTTCAAAATGTGCCTTAATCCTAGAGAACGACAAAGTAGCACTTTCCTATGCTGTGTGTTTCCCCAATGCTAAATGTGTTTTACATTGGAAGCTTTTGCTTGCTTTGTTAATTCTGGTAGCTGCTGACAACTAGTATGAAGATGTCAGTTGAAATGAGGGCCGTGCAGTGGGATTTTTAACCATTTGCTGTGGTTTCCTCTCCTGACCCCACC